TTCGGTGAGGAATGTTTCATATTCCTCAATTATAGACCGTCCCTGTAACATTCCTCAGGCTATCTCTTTTATACACATGATTTCTATACAGCAAAAAGTTTAAACTCCCCACTGTTCATTTTGACAATTAAATTCAATTAACATAACTTTTCTCTCTCATCTGGTGTATATTTCCCAGCCAATAAATGGTGCAACTTTGGCATTAACAGATTTTTAAATGTGGAACGCTACACGGACAGACAAAGAAAGGTGTCCAGTGAAACAATCCTTGTAAACTCTTGACTTCTTGAAAAGGCCACTGGAACCACAAGAAATTCAGTCTATTAAAGTTTGCCCCTAACATATTTATTGACATAAAAACAACAAAGGCTGAAAAAAAACCTCTTCCATCTCTTCTGAAATGCACTACACAGTTTGGTGAGGAATGTTTCGGATCAAAATATTTCAAGTCTGTCCACGTAACGATCCTTTCACACTGCAGACAATCTGCTATCAAAACAACCCTAGAGTACATTTGTCTAAACAAGAGTACTATAGATGAACCATGTTAGTTCAATCTAATGAAAGAAGTGACTGCAAATGCCATGACACAATTTAAAAAATACCAATGATGTCTATTATCTATCAAATTAAAAGGAAGGTTACATGGACAAACTGTTGTTCAAAATCTTGTAGCATTCCCCACTTCTTGTGAACTTGGAACCAGAAAAACAGTCTTGTGAGCCTTATTTCCTCCCAAGTCCAGTTTTTACCACAACGATACACAAATGTAATGGAAACAGAAGTATATATTCATTGCTTATGGTGTTTTTCTCCATTTTCTGTAATTCCAATAAAGGACCGTTACTTGGGACAAACATTGAACGTTTGTCCACTCCAAAGGAAAAACAATGGCAGGTCGACAAAGGAGGGGGTTGATCGATCAACATTGGGATCAGAAAACTACTGAAACATTAAGTAGGGATAACAAGTCCAAACAAAACACAACTTAATCAATGTGTGTGAAAAATGTTCAAAACGTTCACATTTTTGGTGAGTATCGTTACCTTTCTCGAACATCGAGGGGATCGTTACTTGGTCCGAACTGGTGGACGAATGAACGTCGGGTGCGGTCACAGACGCTGCCATCTTCGGAATGAAAGTTTCAGTAGCGGAACCGAAAGAGATCTCTTCCCGGGCGATATTAAAAAGTCACGGGGGCAAATCGGCCGAAACGAAGTAACTGTACTGATAGCGGTGCGGATCGTTAAAAGCGGACGATCATCAACCCATGGTATCAAAATGCTGTAAAAGTACTCATTTACGGTCGTTCTTGCCAGGTTTTCTCCGTACTGAGCAGTCAAACACAAATAACACATAATTTAATTGATATAAAAGGCAGGTTTCACCTGATCATTTGTGAGATTTCAGACTTTGAATTTTCTACCTGAAATGGACGAACACATGAAACGATACTCACCGTAATTTAGCGACCTACTACGGCCTTATAAGGAAAGGTGGGGACTTTCTGAAAGAACTGCCGTGGTGTTTAACTTACTGTTACTGAAGAAATACTTTTATTATGAATACAAACATTACTTTGAGACTGTGGCTAAGGCTTAAATAGATGCACCCCTTCCATGTTACTTTTACGTTTGAATAAAAACTCACTATTTTCATTAGTAATGTGTCAAAAGTATGCAAAATGTTTTCTGAGCATATTTTTGAGCCTTTCAAAGCTTCTTCATCATCATTTCTTTGCAATCATACTTGAATGTCTGCAGATGGTGACTTTTGGTGGGTGTTATTGAGGTGGAAAATAGTGAGCAGTAAAAGTAAACAATACTGGTGGAATGACCCATATATCAAGGCCACCTCTATTCTCACCCCGGGTGAGAATAGCGCAGGCGAGTCTTTTGGCTATTCTCACCCGGTGGGCGTTCACCGTTATAGCCTAGGCCAACTAGTGAAGCGTTCACCTTGAACCACAGAATTCTACACTGTGATAACAGAATTATAGAATTCTGTGCTGTGAACAAACGTTCTAGATCTATTACTACTGTAGTTAGTGTTAGCCCAAGGAGTTTGTGTTAGCCTAAAAGCGTGCAATTTAGTCTGTGGGCAGTGGAGAGAGAAAGAGAGAGAGAGAGAGAGAGAGAGAGAGAGAGAGAGGAGTAGCGCGAGTACTTCCGGGCAAAACAAAATGGCGACCCGCGTAGTTCGGCTCGATTCGGAAAGTTAAATAGCCGTAGCATCTTTGTAGACAACCAAATTAATTTAGTTTTGTTCTTTAACATCATTTTTTAACTTTGTTTTGGTCAATTTCATCGTCCACACAGATAGACAGTATTCAGAAAGAGACAGAGAGGAGGAGTAGATCTTGCGAGAACTTCCGGGCAAAACAAAATGGCGACCCGCGTATTTTGGCTCGATTCGAAAAGTGAAATAGCCATAGCATCTTTGAAGACGATCAAATTTGCTTACTTTTGTGCTATAATGTAATTTTTTCTTGGCTTTTTTATCAATTTGATCATCCACACAGATAAACAGTACTCCAAAATGAGGAAAAACAGGTCTTGTTTCACACCGGGTGAGAATAGCCTACGCTGGCAAGTCTCACCCGGGGTGAGAGGTAGATCTAGATCGTATTTTTGTTCTCACCCCGGGTGAGAATAGTTCCATTTATATCTAATCTAATGTGTAGATCTAGATTCTAGATCATCTAGAGATACATTTTCTAGACCTAGATAGATCTAGATCTAGATATCTAGATTCACTTCCACAGCAGCCACAATAGCCGTCATGTAAACAAACGGGACTGCAATTGTACAGGGCAATTGTTCAGGAGTGCCGCGATTTCTTTCGCAAAAAACGGCTAGATCTAGATCTAGATCTAGATCTAGATAATCTAGATCTAGATCTAGTTCAATTTTCTAATGAACTTTTCAAGTCGCACACCGGCTGCTTCTTTCTCATTTCAGCTCCTTTTATTTTTCGGTTCTGAATCAATTTCTCTCGAATTTCCGCCAATTTCAATGACAACTCGGCGCGCTAACGTCCCGATGCCCGATCGACACTACTGTGTTGCTCCACAACAATTATAATCAATGTGAAACTAGCGCTGGGGCCGGCTGGGCCTAGAAAAACGGAAGTAGAAAGCTACGGGTGGACATGCGCAAGCCGCGCTTTCGTCTCTCTCCTGGTTCAGTGTTTTCCGCGGGGGAAAAAAGGTATGAAAATTGCGACCAAGAGCGGTCCAGCGGAGGAAGGAGGAAAGTTGCGGGAAAAGCTAGAGATCTAGATTTCTAGATGAAACGGAGTTTCCGCTATTTAGCGGGAAAGTGGCAGCTATGGTAAATAGAGGTGAAATAGAATTCCTTGATTGTCTTAGTTTACTGGACGTGAATCTTTGCTTTGGCAAACTTTCAATTTAGTTAAATTTGGCAAGAAATTATTCATCAAAATCAAATCCAACCAACCAACAAAGCCTCCACCACAGTACAGTAGTCCAAGAAGTAAGGCACTGTCACTGGGAGATGTGATGGACTTTGATTCTTTTAAGAGCACAACATTAACTACAGTCCTGTGGGGGTGAGGGGAAGGAAAGGAACATCTCAAACTTGAAAAATTAACAATCAAAGATCCAACATTCAATGACAAAGCCAACTGCTGCTATGTCTGCTCATTATCCACGGACAAAATGGCGGTCGAGTGAGTTAGATTCTTGATCTGATCTCTGGATCCAGTCTGAATCACGTCCCATTGTCTTCCGGGCAACAGTTTTCTCTAAAAAGTCAGTCCCAACCAAGAACAAAACGAACTTTAAAAGTCTCATACATATAGTTTCAGTCTTATCTTTCAATCTTCATCCAAACAAATTACCTTTCACAGCGCGTTTACTGGGCGTGAGAAAGAGAGAACAATGATGATAGCGAGTTTGTTGCCACTAGAGGTAGACATTATTCGATACTAATACTCGATACCTTGAAACCCGTTTTAAAGATTTAGTACTCGGATGCGACCAACGTGTGTATTCGACACCTCGACTTTAAAACATCCATGATCAAGTTAACTAGACACTGGATTGGCAATTATTGTTTTGGGGGATTTTTCTCATTACACAATATGCCTGTGGTATATTGACACCCATAATTACCCAGGCTATGCTACAAAAGACAAATAGAGACCCAGAAAGCTTATTAAATGATATCAATAAAAGTTTATTACTCCTGTTTACATTCTCTTTGCAAATTGTTTAAAACGAAAAAGTAAGAATGAAGATAATACTTATATAAAGACCTAGCTGCTCTAAAGTGTCTGTCAGTCTGCCTGTCTGCCAGTAGCGAATTAAGTCAAAACCATAACGTTTCCCCAGTTAGCTAAGCAAGCCAAGTCGTGTAAGAAATAGGCCTGGCCTAGCCAAGAATTTTTTAGCTGCCAAGCATCGATCAATAATGCTATCGCTGATTTACTCAAGTATTCGATATTAGTATGTATCGAATCAAGCCTCCAGTTGCCACCTCCTGGGATCACAGTAATAATGAAGTTATTGCCCTTGGGCACACGGGGGCGCCCACGACTGGTGGTCATGAAAGAGGGAGGGGGGAGGTGGGGAGAAATGGAATAGACAAAATCTATTTTTATCAATGCTGTCTCTGGGGTCACTGAGGTCACGGTTCAGTTGCAATTTTGGCTTTTGAGCAGACAGAGAGTATTTACATAATTATATAGTGCAGATCATAAGATAAAAAAAATTGCGACGGCTTTGATATCCGAGAAACTATGGCCTTCGATGACAAAGAACCAACAATCTACAAACCAATTCTAGTTTTTATAACTTTTTGATCATCAGTTCATCTAGCCTAATCGATCTAGATCTATGTAATTAATGATTTCATGTTGATAGCCAGATAATTAGACTAGAAAAATACAGCTTGGTCTATTAAAATCAAAACAAATTCAGTTCACACAAAATTTAATGGTTTTGTTTTCAGCACTCTAGGTCTAATCAGTCTATGAAAATTTAAGAAATTGATTTTTGGCCTTTTTTGAAAATACATGTAATTTGATAGACGCATGGCGGGTGACATTTCGTGGCTGATGCACTACTCACTACAAAATAATATATTATCGTGCTGGTGCATGTCGTGGGAAATGTTGTATACTTTGATAGCTTTTCATTTGGGCAATATAGACTTTCCAACTGAGTTTCAGCTGTTTGGATTGTTGTCGCCAAACGTTGCCTTAATGTGAGTCATTTCATATTGTGGTATTTCTAAGTCTATAAAATGGTGGGGGGGGGGGGATATTTTATCTTAACCGCCATCAATTAACATAATATTTTAGATTTCTATCGGATCATATCGGTTCCGTGTCTCCGATCGATCCTTGCTCAGGAAGTAAAGGCCCATCCTGCTCTCCTGAATCTCATATACTGGTAGCATTTTACTGTAGCAATTATATAGGTCTCGAAGGAATTTTTTAATGAAAAAGGTTAATGTAAATTAACTGGTATATAATATATAGCGGATGGATTTTATATATTTAGGCTATGGGATTTTATAAATGTTTGAGTTTGAATATAGGGCCTATAGATCGGTGTCCCGAGAAAGTGAAACAGCAGCTGACAACATAAATTGTCCTTCGGATCGAATCTGGGAAATCCGCTTTTCTCACGCTCTCCCCGCCTATCCTTCATAAGTAAATAACTTTTGGTTTTGTCGTAGCACTTCGCCTGGTTAAAGGCCCAAAGTAAGCTCATATGTTCACAGAGATTACACTACCCTACGTTCATTTATAAGCTCGTGGAGGATACCTTAGTGAACGATTTGCATTTTAAAACGAATTTTCTATTATGTTGTGGGTTTTTTCGCTTTTTTGG